TTTCCTGGTGAAATCCAAGGTTTTGGGTGGTAAAATCAATAGTGATCGGTATTTACCCTCTTGGTAATTTAACATAGCTATTGGATATGGTCATTTATAGTGGAATTGGAAAAGCCACCAACTTCCCTCATTGCGGACACGTATATCAGCCAAGTACCTGTATATATATATATATTATTATATTTTATATATTATGTATTATATATTCTATATTAAATATTATATATTATATATTGTATACTATATATTGTATACTATATATTTTATATATTGTATATTATATATTTTATTGTATGTTAAATATTATATATTATAGTTTATTAAATATTATATATTATATACTATGTATTAAATATTATATATTTTATATTGTATTTTATGTATTATATATATAATATTAGATATTATATATTGTATATTATATATTATATATTGTAAAATAATTTATATATTAAATATATATTATATATTATATATTATATATTGTAAAATTACTTATTTATATATATATACATTAGATAGCTTATATATGTATATACCTGTGTCGACCAGATCTTTTGTACTTGCCGAACCGGTGTGTGCAACACACCCTTCGGCCTCAGGACAACAACCGTCACACTTTGCTGATGTTGCTGCCTGTAAAGAGAACTTTTTATAGTATTTTATAGCATGACAGTAAAGTATATCACGAAAGCCAGCCGCTAGGCTAGGCGAAGTTATTTTTGCGAACAAAGTGAGTTTAGGGGGTCTGGGGGCAGAGCGCCCCGAACGGATCAAAAATCACGAAATTAGGTGGTAAAAAAGGTGGACCGAGGTAAACTTTTTTAGGGTTATGTACCAGGTGGCAATTGGGTGACGGTGGGGTATCGATTCCCCCCTGGTCCGCCCTCCGAGCTGGACTTGGGGAGATTGCAATGGAGGGGAAAATGATGAGAAAAACAATGGGAAAAATGAGGGAATATGACGTAAAACAATGGGAAAAGAATGGGAAAGCAATGGAAAATTTGAGTAGAACGCTTGGAAAATTGATTAAAACGCGAGGAAAAACGGTGGAAAGAATGGGGTGAGGGTAAAATGATGCCAAGTAAAATTGAGGCTCCGATGTGGGACCATTAGTTCTTGTGGCCTGCCAAGTAAGTATTTGGGGATGTGGTCGGGGAGGGTTGCGGAAAATTGTTTTTTCACGAGAGCCAGCCGCTATAGGCTAGGCGAAGTTTTTTTTGCGACCGAAGTGAGTTTAGGGGGTTTGGGGGCAGAGCGTTCCTAACGGCCACTAAATCACGAAATTAGGTGGTAAAAAAGGCGGACGCAGGTGAACTTTTTCAGGGTTATGTACCAGGTGCCAATTGGGTGACGGTGGGGTATCGATTCTCCCCTGGTCCGTCCTCTGATCTGAGGGGAGAATGATGAGAAAAACAATGGAAAAAATGAGGGAACATCACGTAAAACAATGGGAAAACAATGGAAAATTTGAGTAGAACACTCCCATCAAATTGGCATTCACGTCCGGCACATTCAGCCCCCGAAAGCGAGACAGCACCAACTCGGGCGCTGGGTTGATTCGAAGCTGGCCTGCTGGACTGAGGGACACCGTAGTCGCCCGGGTGGACTGAAACTTGACCACCAAGCCTGGCTCCCGGCAGACTACCACACGCTCGAGATTGGTGAACCGAAGCTTGGGATACTGGTCAGCCCCACTCACGTTTTCAAAAGCCTCGGTAATGGTCCGCTCCGATTTTTCTGCTACGGGGCTCCAAAGAGCAACCTGGACAAGCATTTGGGAATCGGCCACAGTCAGCGTCAGAACCCGACGTGGGCCCTTGCCTTTCCCACCACTCACCTCTTTCAGAGGCCCGAACTCCAGCAGGAACGCTTCCAAGTCCACTTTAGCTCTGTTCTCCTGCAAGGTGATGGCCTCCATCAAAGACGAAGCTTTCACCACCGTCGGTGAGGTTGCCGAGGAGGCCTCAGCTTCTTTTTGGGGAGCCAAGGAACTTGGGCACTCCACGGAAAGGCGCTTGCAATTGGAGACAGGCCTCAGGCGCCCAGTTGCATGGCTGGCATGGCGCGTTTGGGTGTAACGAAGATCCATATCCCCAAGAAATACATAGAAATACCAGAATTCCTGGTATCAACATGTGCATTTCAATGGGAAATTTGTTTAGCTAAATCAACTGTAAATAGAATTTATACCCTCTGGTAATTTATATACCCGCTCGCGAACTTGAAGCCATTGCCCGTAGAAAACCTTGATTTACCGAACTTACAAATGGTGATTTTTTTCGCTCTGTAAAGGGCCCATCCCATAAAATCTCGGTCCGCAATTCTTGTTGCTTTCTCAACATAGAAGTCACAATGTGAGGCCCCCGTTTACGATAGCTAAGTTGGTGAACATAAGTCCAATTTCATTATGGTTTATTGCATTTATAGCTATAGTTGCTGGGGCGAATCTAAACCAACAAACATCACTGGGGGGCCCACATTGCAGGGATAATGAAGCAAAGAAATTGTGAACCCACAAGATCTAAATGCATAGCGCATTCCCCACTGAAACATGGTGCTTGAAATATACTGATCATGTCAACCCCGGAATTTGCTAAACCATGGTTTATGAAAATTAGGGGGGTACTCCTCCAATAGTCATTTCATCTGATACTTAAATGGTACCCTCCTAGTCAAACAGCCGTTATCGTTTTGTGTTTGTTGACATTAAACTGTTGTTGGATGATTTTGGAAGCCCCAAGACTTACAGTTAAGGCCCGAATTATACCAGTTATAAGTACTAAGAAAACCCCATTTATAGAATGTATAATCCCATTGAAAAAACAAGTTATAACTAATAGCCATGGCCATAACTGTACCCGAGCCAGAACAGAAAGATGTGTCACTGAAAAGACGCATTCCCCAAGGATTTCACAGATCTTCCCAGTTCCAGTATCGCTTCCGTTACAGTAGTCCGATATATGTTCCTTGCAAAGTGGTGCCCCCCCCAGTTTAATAAGTTGGTTTATAGTCCCATTAACTAGTTCGATATATCTACCATAAGTCCTAGTGAAATTAAAGTTCTAAACCAACTTAGCTATCATTAACTAGGTCACGCCGCCCGCAATGACCCCGCGCAATTTGACCTTTTTTCCAGCATCTCAGTTTCCAGTTTTGCAACCCTTCCAGGGTTTTGTGACATTCGCATTTTGACATGACTTGCATTTCTATTGGTATTTGCATGACTTTGTAGTCGTTTTCATGAATTTACATTGGTCGAAGCATTCTTTTTTTGTCCCCATACATTAAAAAAAAACGAAGTTTTTGTATTTTTAACTTGCAAGTCTTTGCCAACGTGCCAAGTTCTTCAAACTCGCATCCTTGGCCACATTGCATCTCCACACCAAGGTAACACAATAACTTAGCAACAACGTAGCACCGCGTAGATGTAGCACACATGCCAGAACGCTACAAAATGCGACAACAACGTAGCACCGCGTAGATGTAGCACACGTGCCAGAACGCTACAAAATGCGACAACAACGTAGCACCGCGTAGATGTAGCACACGGGCAAGATCGCTCCCAGAGATCTCTACAGCGTAGCAACATGTAATGTACGAAGTGCAAGGAACGTTAACATCCCACCCCCCACCCCACCCCACACCATCAGAAGTGTAAGAGAACGCACAGCAACGTAGCATGACGTATGTGCAGAAGTGTAAGAGAACGCACAGCAACGTAGCATGACGTATGTGCAGAAGTGTAAGAGAACGCACAGCAATGAACGTTATTAGCCCACCCCACCCCCCCCAAAATCACAACACGCACATGGCCTCTTAGCGGCGTTGACACCCAAAACTTCTACCTGACGTGAGAACATCCGAAGTCGTGAGGCAAACCGCCTGGGGTCGTTCGAGGCGGCGTGAGCATTAACTAGTTCGATATATCTAACATAAGTCCTAATGAAATTAGAGTTATAAACCAACTTAGCTATCGAACGGGGGCACCACATTGTGTATATCACCCAAAAATGATGGTTGGGTACCCTGAAATTCCCATCCCATTCTGTCGCAGCACATCGCCATGTTTCAAGCTGAAAAACCCGAAAAGCGCTGGCAGGTTACCTGGGTAAATTACAATAATTCATTGACCTGAAAAGTTCGCAAAAAATATCGGGATTATAATTTCTCTAGATACATTCACCATCATTCCAGCGAGGTCACAGTGCAGTTATGGCCATTAACAGTTCGAAATGGACTGAAATAACTCCTATAACTATAATTGGTTGTATACATCATTATACTCCCATCAAAATAACTGTTAGTTGGGCCATAACTGTGGGGTCGCTATGAATGGCCATAAATGGGGTTATCATTCCGTAACTGGTGTTGTTTCACTGACTTATAACTGGTATTTTGGGCCATAACTGTAGTTATTAGAGGTTATAACCGTTATATAAGCATTATAACCCAACTTTTGGAGGTTGTACAGTTGTTCCTGTAGAAACCTCCATTTTTCATGGGGAATTTTCCGGCCTCCTGGTTGGGCTGCAACTTGAAGGTCTTGGTGTCAACCACCGGCGCTTCGTAGGACCAACCCAGCAACGCGTGCCGAAGGTCACCTAACGCGCCGCAAAGGTGCAGCTCTCGAGGGTGCCGGATTTATGGGTATAACTATGGGGATTTTAAGCTCCAAAAGTTCGGCTTAAATAAATATCTGCGTAAATTATAATAATTCATCAACCTGAATTAAGGCCATTTGGGGATGATTCCCCTTACTAACTATGATTTCCAGTGAGGTCGCAGTGAGGTCGTTATTATTTACCCCTTAAAAGGTACTTATAATCAATGGCCATGCAACAGGAACCGATTTATTGGAGGTACCTACCATATGTAAGGCCTATTTTTCAGGCCTATGTCAGGGGATATACCCCCAAAATATGGCCAAACATATGGTACAGTATATACCTCCATTTTAGGTTCCTGGAATTCCCATTGAAATAAATATGGAGGTTTCCATAAATGGGGGTCCCCAAGCTCGCTGGATGGTTTATTTCATGGAAATTTCGACTGAAAAGGATGATAACTAGGGGTACCCCTATTTTAGGAAACCTCCATATGGTTATCCACTCATACTTGTAAGGTTATAGTATGGGTTTAGAGTTGGTTATACCTAGATATATGATTATCCACCAGTGGCAAGGGGTGCTTCCCAGGGGTAGATGAAATTACATTATATAAGATATATACAAAGTGGGGCCCCCGTTTACGAAATCGCTAAGTTGGCGAACATAACTTCAATTTCACTATGGTTTATGGTACGCAAATAATGAACTAGTTTCTGAGAATTATAAACCAACTTATAACTGGGGGGCCCCACATTGTATGGTTATCTACTCATATTGAGTTATATAGAGTTACAGTATGATATCCATTTTATAGAGGTTATTATCCTCTATCAATTATAACATACAACGGTAAGTGAGCCATTAAAAATACCCCTATCCCATCTCATTATACTAGTTGGTTGAAAACGGTCTCCCAATCCTATGGCTTATCATAATCCCCAGTGAATTAGGTAGTAAAAGTCCCTATAGTAAGTAACTAATCAACAAGGGTATTTTTAATGGCTCAAGTTGGGTTGTTGTCTGGTTGGTGGTTTCAAAACCCATCTGAAACATATGAGTTCGTCAGTTGGGATGGATGGAAATTCCCAATTGAATGGAAACTCATAAAATTCCATGGTTCCAAACCACCAAGCAGTTGTTTTTTCTATCCGCTTATTTCATTGGAACTGCGCCTACTGGTTGCTCTCTTTTTTCAAGCTGGTGAAACATGGCAAGTGGTTCCATCCCGTCGGAACTACGGAAAATCACCATGTTTAATGAGTAAATCCACTATTTCTATTGCCATTTTCAATGGTTTTTTGTATGTTTACCAAAGGTTAAGGCCGGAAATAGCAGTTTTAGATGATTAATGGTAAATCAACGATTTCTAAATGACCATTTTCAAGTTCGCGAACTGTAAACGTTTACCAGAGAGTACTGGAAAACATATATCTCTACCATAAACCCTACAAAGTGGGGCCCCCAAAGGATAGCTACGCTGATTTATAACTACAATAACTATATATGGTTTATGGATGTTTATGGTACTTATAACTAGAGTTGATGGGCTTTACAAACCAACTTATAACTGGAGGGCCCCGCATTGTAGGCATATAAATGATGTACATAATATTGCTCATAATCCAAATCCCCTAACATTAAGCAACCCCTTTGTTGTGGTCTGAAATGGGGATGTCCAACCAAATGACCTGGGGGATGAGATTGAAAAAACTGTTCGTACAAGTAGGTGAGGCCCCCAAAAGATATGTCAAAGTTCTTCGTAAATTGGTGAATTCTATGTTTTATGGGAGACATCACTATAGTATTCACGTTTGTTTTTCAAGCAAACTAACAAAACATATTTTGTGGGGGTGCTCACCTTGTAGAACATATTCCAATTTTCGCTTTTAAGCAAAATACTAAAGCATTAAAGTAGCCATTACCAGGGTTACCCACAAAATCCCGAAGCAACCCTGGATTTGGGTAATCTACAAGGCGGTGCCCCGCTAGTTATGTTTGTTGGTTTCTAAACCTCTTTGACTAGTTCGATATATCTACCAGAAACCATAGTTAATTCACCTAGTTACTTTCACCAACTTAGCAAACTATAGATATATCTACCTAACCAGATATCTAAGCACACTTATATCCCCCTAATCAACACAGAATTCACCAATATACAAACCAACTTAGCTAACGAACTGGGGCACCACCTTGTAAATTACAAATCGAATATAAATCCATATGGGTCTGTCTGAATGGTGTATACCTTCTAAAAATAACTATTTAGTGGAGAAAATGATGACTAACCGTTGTGGATTAAGAGGTACGATATTTTCAGACAAACCCATTCACATCTCATAAAATTCTAATATAAATTTAATATAAATCTATATAATATAAATCAATAAATAATTCCATATGGTTTCTTGCTTCATTCAGTTCATTTTCACAGTTTTTTTCCATCTGGGGATGGGTCTTTGAACCCATGTCAAAACCCTTCTGCTCACATCAAAATATTCCTGGGATTTCTGGATGTTCATCCCTTAAGAAATTGTAGAAATGGTATTGATCCATAGCCATAGAGTTAAAAATAACCATCATTAACCATCATTAACCATTCCTAACCATCATCCATTAACCATCATGAAAACTATCCATGAAAACCACTATTCCCCATAAACCATAGTTAACCAAGTTAGAAGTCAACTAGTTATATCACATTTGTCCTATGGGGCACCACCTTTTCCATCACTACCCTGATCCCTCGCCTGGAGTCCAGGTAGCAGACCAGGAACCTTTCCGCGTCACGGATCCTGAGACGTTTCGGTTTTTATGTGGCGACCTGGGCGTTTTGCCCCATGAAAAATGGAGCTTTCTACAAGGTGGGACCCCCAAACGATAGCTAAGTTGGTGAACATAACTCGAATTTCACTATGGTTTATGGCAGATATAACGAACTAGTTAATGGGGGTTAAAAACAAACAAACATAACTGGGGGGCACCATCCTGTACAGTTATTCACATCCAAAAGTTGGATTATAACCTCTATAACTACAGTTATGGCCCACAATACCAGTTCTAAGTCACTGAAATAACACCATTTATGGAATGATCGCCCCGTTTATAGCCATTTATCATCATTTACAACTGGCATTGCCGTTTTTCATTGAGGATTTTCCAGCAAGCCACTTTTGATTGCAGGGCATCTCCCATGGATTTTTTGTTATTCCGGAGGATCATCCCACAGCTCTTAAGGGGTTAGTATCCTGGTTAGTAAGTCCCTGATTCGTGATTTATTCATTTCCCATATGCAACGAATGGTGCTGGAAGATTTACCCACATTTGCCTGAACAAAATCACCCGGTTCTGTAGATAAATATATGTCTGGTTGGTGGTTTCAACCCCTCTGAAAAACATGAAAGTCAGTTGGGATGATTCTTCCCAATGTATGGAAAAATAAAAAAATGTTCCAAACCACCAACCAGAAATCGATTAGATAATCCCATTGATATCATTAGTGACTAAAGGATGAAAGTACCCATCTAAGATTGACCTAGTAAATATAACATACATGGAGCATATTTCATATAGGTTTAGAGGCTGAACTAACTCCAATAACTCCAGTAACATCACGATCCGATGATCCGAGGAGTTTCCGGATTTCCAAAGATCACAAAAAACACTCCCCCGAAAAGAAAAGAACACACATACTTACAATGTGGTGCCCCCATAGGAAAAATCGTAGAAAAAACCATAGGAACATGGGGATTTCATGGGATTTACAGCTGATTTATGATAGCTAAGTTGGTTCATATAACTATGGTTTATGGCAGATATAACTATAGTTAATGGGATTATAAACCAACTTATAACTAGGGGGGCACGATCTTGTATGGCCATGGCTATTAGTGAACTACTGGTTATTTCTATGGGATAAAAACTAGACGACGGGTGGCCCGAGAGCGTAGAGGAGCAGGGTCTTCTCTTGTTAGTATGGAGACACCATATTAGAAACATTTAGAAACAATATATTAAAGATGTGTTATAGGCAGTCGAGAAGAGTAGTATTAAGACAAAATAGCAGAAGTGCAAGACAATAGTTTGCATCGCAAACACTTTTACACACAGAAGCTTTTACACACAGAAGCTTTTACACACAAAAGCTTTCACACACAGAAGCTTTTACAGACAGACACTTTCACACACAGACCCTTTTACACACAGACGCTTGTACACACAAAAGCTTTTACACACAGAAGCTTTCACACACAGACGCTTTTACACAGACACTTTTACAAACAAAGCTTTTACCCACAGAAGCTTTTACAGACAGAAGCTTTTACACACATACGCCTTTACACAGATGCTTTTACACACAGACACTTTTACACACAGACACTTTTAACAAAGACCCTTTTACACACAGGAGCTTTTACACACAGAAGCGTTTACACGCAGACGCTTTTACACACAAAAACTTTCACACAACAGAAACTTTTGAACACAGACGGCTTTACACACAGACGCTTTTACACACAGAGGCTTCTACACACAGAAGATTTTACACAACAGACTCTTTTACACACTGACGGTTTTACACACAGACGCAACCTACACACAGAAGCTTTTACACACAGAAGATTTTACACACAGAAGCTTTGACACACAGAGGCTTTTACACACAGAAGATTGCACACACACAGAAACTTTTACACACAAACGCTTTTTACACAAACGCTTTTACACACAGAAGCTTTTACACACAGAAATCTTTACACACAGAAACTCTTACACACAAACGCTTTACACACAGACGCTTTTACACACAGAGGCTTTTACACACAGAAGATTTTACACAACAGACCCTTTTACACACTGACGGTTTTACACACAGACGCTTTTACACACAGAGGCTTTTACACACAGAAGATTGCACACACAGACGCTTTTACACAGACGCTTTTTACACAAACGCTTTTACACACAGAAGCTTTTACAAACAGACACAGACACCTTTACACACAGAAACTTTACACACAGACGCTTTGACACACAGACACTTTGACACAGAGCACACAGAAGCTTTTAAGCAGACGCGTTTACACAAACGCTTTTACACAGATGCTTTTACACACAGAAACTTTCACACACAGCACACAGAGCTTTGTACACACAGAAAAAGTCGCAATTTTACCTTAGTTTTTGGCGATCGACCCTCATTTCGTGCGAAAGGGTTGCAACGGGAACCCGGAAATCGCACTTTTACCGCAGTTTTTGGCGATCGGCCCTCATTTCGTGCGAAAGGGTTGCGCCGGACAAGTTGAAATCGCAATTTTACTGCAGTTTTTGACGATCGACCCTCATTTCGTGCGAAAGGGTTGCAACGGGAACCCGGAAATCGCACTTTTACCGCAGTTTTTGGCGATCGGCCCTCATTTCGTGCGAAAGGGTTGCGCCGGACAAGTTGAAATCGCAATTTTACTGCAGTTATTGACGATCGAACCTAATTTCGTGCGAAAGGGTTGCGCGGGACCGGTGGAAATCGCAATTTTACTCAGTTTTTGGCGATCGAACCTCGTTTCGTGCGAAACGGTTGCGTTTCGTGCCGTCTCGTTGGCACTGCCCCTGCCCCCGCCTTCAGAAGAGAAATAGAAAAGAAGGAGAGGGCAAGAGGGGCAAGAGGGTAAGAGGGCAAGAGGAGAAGATGTGAGATGAGAAGATGTGAGAAGATGTGAGAAGATGTGAGAAGATGTGAGAAGATGTGAGAAGATGTGAGAAGATGAGAAGATGTGAAGATGAGAAGATGTGAAGATGAGAAGATGTGAAGATGAGAAGATGTGAGAAGATGTGAAGATGAGAAGATGAGGAGAAGATGAGAAGATGTGAAGATGAGAAGATGTGAAGATGAGAAGATGTGAAGATGAGAAGATGTGAAGATGAGAAGGTGTTTTACAGACCCCCACTATTGGAAGAACCCTGCGCTCAGACGCTCTCGGGAAAAACATTCTATTTTGATGGGGGTTGGTAAGCTTCACGAAAGTAAGTGACGAATCTGACAGTCACATCTCGAGACGCCAGTGCCGTCTCCGCTTCGGGTCTGGCGGCTGCCAGTCCGGTGGCCTCTGGGTGCAGTGCTTTTCGTGCGTAGGCTGCCCGCTCTTCTTCTTGATGGGTTGGTTGCAGAACTGGCAGTGTGCCTGGTCGGGGCAACAGAAGGGCATGGTAGCAATTGTTGATCATAGACCATGCCACCTCTGGCGGATCGATAGGACAAGGGCCTGAGAACAGCGAATTCTGCCTGCTCTGTCCTCTACCTCGTGCTGCCTGTGAGCTTCCGATTTGGGGCTGACCTGGTGCAGATCCTGTTGCTCCAGAAGGGCCAAACATTATCAACTGGGAGTCACCCAATTTGCATGAATCAGCTGTCAGCTCTCGCCGACACAAAGTGGGCGCGTTCGGGCCTCCAATCGACATTGCGGAACTAATGATACAGTTCACCGTGCCAAATGAAACCTGTGCGGACAAGCCACCAGCCCTGCCAGATCTTGGGGTTTTCTGAGTACTTAAAACTGGTATGACTCGGGCCTTAACTGCACACCCAGAAACTTGTGGAATGTACATGATTTCGTCCCGTTTTTTAGGTCCCATCTCTTCTGGTTTGATCCTAGTTCTTGCTGCTGAAGTTTTGTAAACAAATCCCCCTTGAACTCCCTGTTTTTCTTTAAGGCATTCTTGTGCTTGGTGGCTCATCCCACGGATCCTAAGTAGGTTATAACCCTGTTTTTTTTGGTGGGATAAGTAGGGTTAATCCACTTGTAACCAGGGTTATTTCACCTACTTAGGATCCGTGGGATGAGCCACCAAGTGGAGCTTCAGGTCTTGAAAACCTTGCCACTGAGACTCTCTTCTGAAGTCCAACATCTGCCTCGCAGGGTGGTGGTTCTCCCCAAAATGGGGTCACAATGCTTCGATACACCTGAAACATATTGGAGACAATGTTTCCAATGGGATCAAAACCAACAAAGGGATGTTTCAACATGGGAACAAGGGGGCAAAAACAAACACATGCAAATCATAGTTGACTATCTCTCAATCAATGCATAAATAGGTTGATAGATTGAATGGTTGACTCACCCTGTTCTTTTTTCCTAAAACCAAGGATCTCTGCTGCCAGAGTTTGTTGTGTACTGCTAAAACCCCATTTCAAGAACCCAATGCGGAACAATCCAGTCCGAAATTTGAAACATATATCAGGTACAAAAATACACCATCCCCACCACCAAACATCACTGGTTGCTTGTTTCACCCCATAGGAAGACGCTCCATGTCCTTTTTCCTATGAGAAATCACCTTGCGCAATTAGTTTGCACAGTTAAATCGTTGAATGGAATGTGTACAAAGTGGTGCCCCCGTTCGATAGCTAAGTTGGTTTATAACTCTAATAACAAGGACTTATGGTAGATATATCTATGGTTAGTGGGATTATAAACCAACAAACATCACTGGGGGGGCACCACCTTGTACACTCCAGTAAACTCATATAGCTATGGTATAGATGGCCCATTTATAGATAAGTTACATATTGAACATGGTGATGTCCATAGCTATGTATGTTAGTTACTTTTAGTTTACCAGACGGTACTTGTTGTACAGACTCTGGGCCATTTCAATGATCACTGTTGGTACAGCATGGTACAGATCACCCCACAGTTCCAACCTTGAGGGTTTGTGTAGCGAAGTACTCAGGCAGTACTGGGGAAACCAAGAAATATGAAACCACCAGCCACAGAATGGCTTACTGGTTGGTCAAGGATGGATTTCCCAGTTCATGGATTGTGGGTGGAGAATCCCCAATATATTGGATAGTATTAGCCCATACATAATAATCAAGAAACCATCATGTATCAGTTGTGTCTTACTATATATTTCCCTTTTTTCCTGGTTGTTCAACCACAACTGGTTGGTGGTTTTAACCATCTTGAAAATTATTAGTCAATGGGAAGGATTATCCCATATATTATGGAACATAAAAAATGTTTGAAACCACCAACCAGTTTATATATATAATATGTATGTCCTTTTCCTTAATGGTTGCTCAATCCCCCGAAAATCACGAGTTAATCATCAATCATGGAATTAAGAATCCCCATATGTTTGAATGTTAAATAATCCCAAAGAATATTCCCAACAGCAAGAAAGCAGCGGCCGTAGATCCCAAACAATAATTCCATATAAGCGTGGTAGTTTTTGTTTCATGACCAAGCAATGCAGTGCATTTTTGCGCCGTCCTGCCCGCCGGCCTCCCCTACTACTACTACTACTACTACCACTACGACTACTACTACTACTACTACTACTACTATCATAGGGTGCCATTTGGGGGGGTAACAAAACGACGCCCACAAACGTTGAGAGCGCGGCGAGTAGATTTTGAGGTCATTTTGAGCGATGGATCACCCGATTATCAACAAAACCATTTTGAGTTGATTTTGAGGAATTTTCCGTTTGATGATTTTTTTGCAAAAAAAGCAATCGAGTAGATTTTGAGAAATTGAGGGTGGTTTGAGGGAAATGCAAAAATATAATCAAATAGATTTTAAGAAATCGAGGGTGTTTTGAAGACAAGTTCAAACAGAAAAAACTTTGATCGCATTTTTGGGTTGAAGTTGTTTTGAGTTGAAATTGAGTCCAATTTGAGTTGAAATTGAGTTGAAGTTGAGTGAGTTTGAGTTATGTTTGGGGTGGTAAAATGCTAAGGAGAGAGAAACGATTCAAGCATGTTTGGGTACATTGAGACTGAGACTAACTTTTGAGTAGAGACTTAATTCAAACATTTATTAAGGACCATTGATATTGGTTTAAATAATTAATGATTGTATATAGTTATTAGATTCGCTGCGTTGTTGTTCACTTCTAATAGGTTGGCTTAATTTTGCCATGTGAGAATCTGGGGGGGGGGCAGGACGTACCAAAAACCATGAAGCAACAATGATATTTCATTGTTCTACCTGGTTTGAGTGTGGTTTGAGTGTGGTTTGAGTGTGGTTTGAGTGTGGTTTGAGTGTGGTTTGAGAGTGGTTTGAGTATGGTTTGAGAGTGGTTTGAGAGTGGTTTGAGAGTGGTTTGAGAGTGGTTTGAGAGTGGTTTGAGAGTCGTTTGAGTGTGGTTTGAGTGTGGTTTGGGTCTTTTGTGAGGAGTGTTTAAGGTTCAATGAAGATAAAATGAGGATAAAATGAGGATTTAATGAGGAAATGAAGATAAAATGAGGATAAAATGATGATTTGATGAGGAAATGGAGATAAAATGAGGATAAAATGAGGATTTGATGAGGAAATGAAGATAACATGAAGATAAAATGAGGATAAAACGAGGATAAAATGAGGATTTGATGAGGAAATGAAGAGAAAATGAGGATAAAATGAGGATTTGATGAGGAAATGGAGATAAAATGAGGATAAAATGAGGATTTGATGAGGAAATGAAGATAAAATGAAGATAAAATGAGGATAAAACGAGGATAAAATGAGGATAAAATGAAGATAAAATGAGGATTTGATGAGGAAATGAGAAAAAAATGAGGATTGAGAATAAGGATAAAATGAGGATTTGATGAGGAAATGAAGAGAAAAAATGAGGATAAAATGAAGACAAAATGAGGATTTGATGAGGATTTGATGAAGAAATGAGGATAAAACGAGGATAAAATGAGGATAACATGAGGATAAAATGAGGGTAAAATGAGGATAACATGAGGATTTGATGATGAAATGAAGATAAAACGAGGATAAAATGAGGATTTGATGAGGAAATGAGGATAAAATGAGGATTGAGAATGAGGATAAAATGAGGATAAAAATCCAAGGCAAAATCCGATGCAAATTTATTGAGGTTTCAGAATGAAGATAAAATGAGGATAAAAATCCAAGGCAAAATCTGATGCAAATTTAATGAGGTTCCAGGATGAGGATGCTTTTGCTCCCTTAATTATTTTCCAATTAGTTTTACAACAATGTGCCCCTATTATGTCCTTAAGTTTTGCACTGGTTCCCATATCATGCCTTTATTTTCCTAATAATTTTCACTACTATTTCCTCAATGGTTCATTGTATTTGCTAGAGATGATATCATTTCATAGTTCATACTGTGGAAGAGGTCACCGCAATTAGTTCATTTTAAATTAAGTTTCCTCCTTAGTTTTCCAATGAATTCCCCATTGATTTCCCTATTGATTTCCATAGTATTTCATCATTATTTCCATATGATTCAATTGTTTCCCGATCATTTCATTATTATAAGCTATCTCACTTTTGTTTCCTTAATTAGTTTCAATTAGTTTTATATTTTGTCTCTATTTCCTCATTTTTTGCATATATTTCCCTAATATAACCTTAAACATTGATTAGCTCCC